AAGGAGGAGGGTCCCCCGGCGGGGATGGGGATGAGGGGCGGCCCCGGCGTTGGACCCCTGACGGCCGGCGGCCGGCCCGGCGGCAGGATGGTGGAGGGAGGTCTGCGCTGAGGCGGGGGGCTGCGGAGGAGAGAGAGCACCTCAGGGGACGGAGCGCGGGCAGCCCGCAGCCCTCCTTCCCCCAGGAAAAAGCCCAAATCCAAGTTATCCCGTCGTCCGCCCCGCTGACTCCCGCCGGGCATCCCGCCCCCGCCAAGGCTACCTGTGCCCGCTGCTCGTCTGCAGCCACGTGTCGTCCACGGGCGGGGGAACCGGCGTGGAGACGGTGCTGGTGCTGATGTCCCCGATGATGTTCAAGGCCTCTTTCAGGGCGTGGTACATGCGCAGCATGTCGTCCCGCCTCTGCGCCTGGTCGGCCGACTCCTCCATCAGGCTGCTCTGGTCGGCGGAGGAGTACAGGTAGGCCAAGAGCTCCGAGTGGATGAAATCCTTGGTCTAGAGAGAAACAGCGAGCGCAGGTCGGCCCCCGCGATAGGAAACGCAGCGGCCGGGCGGACGCGGGAGGAGCCGAAGCCGCGGAGGCAGCGGGGGCCGGGGGACACCTCTGCCGGCTCCGGAAGGCGCGCGGAGCCCCGGCGACTCAGGGCTCGCAGGAGGGTTCTGCGTCCCCGGTTTGCGAGAACCGGGCGGGAGCAAACGCCAAGAATCAAAGCGCCTTCTCAGCAAAGCTGCTGCCAAGCAGCTCAAGCACAAAGCCATGAAAACGAAGGATCGAAAGATCGCCAAATCCCATTGTTCGGTTCTGGCTCGGTGACGAGGACCCCGAAATCCCCCCGAAAAGCCCCAGCAGCTCCCTCCCCGCCGCCCCCGAGCGCAGCCACTCACATTGTTTATCATGAGGTGCATTATCGTCTTTGGCATGAGGTCCCGGATGGACTTGTTGATGATGCCGACGTAGGAGTCGACAAGGTTGCGGATGGTTTCCACCTGGCGCTCCAGCTGGGGGTCCATGGAGAAGGTGTTCTCCTGGGCGCCGTCCTCGTTCTCGGTCTGCTCAGGGAAAGCAGGGCACAAGTTACTGTCGGGATCTGACTGACCCGGAAAGAAACCCCTCTGCTCCACACTTATTCCCTGTCCCTTCCACCTATTTCCATCCTACGCGGGTGCTTTTTCAAACAGAGTTCATTTCGTAGCCCGGAACGACTAGATCCATCAGCTGGGCAGCACAAACTAGCGCCGCGTTACAAAGTTCGTCCTCTTCTGCGATACCGCGGCATTTTCCAGGGTATCCGAGAACCTACTGCGACAGCCCAGGCCCCAGGCCAAGGGCTCCCAAGTCTGAAGGCTCCTCGGGCAGCCGCTGCCCGGGCCGGTCTCAGGCAGCACCCCGCGGCCAGCCTGCGCCGGGAGGGCTCGGGCAAGGCAGAGGGAGTGTTTACTTGGTCTTTCTCTGGGTAAACTCCCGCTCGGAGGAAGGAGGCTTTCCAGCTGTCCACGTCTTCTTGGGAGTCGCAGGCCAGCTCGATCTGCCGGAGATCTTTGTACACGTTCCTAGGGGACGAAGGAGCAGAGCCGGGGGTGAGGAGCGCGGAGGCCGGGTCGGGGACGGGAGGCTCAGCGGAGGCCGGCGAGGCCTCCCGCACCACGAGCCCTCGACACCAGGAAGCCTGAAATCCCTCCAGAATGTGTACACAAACATTGGCAAGCTGCTGCTTCCTCTGGAGAAATCCCCCTCCTGCCCGATCCCAGACGCTCCTGCCTCGGAGCACGAGGCCGGCTGGACGGGGCAGCCGGACGCACGGCCCGGGTTTGGCCCAGCGGCGACCGAGGCACGGGCACAACCATCAGCCCGTCAACCACGGAGCGCGTTCGGCCGCGCCTCGAGCCCGCTGCGATACCCAGAGAGCGAAGGGATTTCGGGAGGTGCCCGGCCGCCGCCGCTGCGCACGGCCCTTACCTTTGCTCCGTGTTGAAGATGGCAAAGACGTGCTTGTTGGACATAAATCCCTTCTCCACGTCCCTGATTTTCAAATTATCCAAAGGCAACATGTATTTCTTCTCCTTCTCCTGGAAGGGGGGAGAAGAGGAAGGGAGGGATGAGAGCGAGCGGGCACAGCGGCGCTTCGCTCGCGCTAACGAGACGCCCTGAGCGGGATGAAAACCCAACCCCTAGGAAAGACGGCGGGGACGAGAGCCCCTGCGACGGAGGGGCCGCGATCTCCCCGAGCTCGCACCAGAGAAGCTCCACCAAGACGCGCTTTTCGGCTCGGCCCACCGCACGCGGTCCCCTGACCGAAGCCGAGAGCCTTCCCTGGGACGGAGCAATCCGCTCCCCCTGAATTAGCAGCGCTCTGGATTGCGGCTCCGGCACAAGAACGGACCGCGAATCCCTTTCGGTGCTGCTCTGGCTACCCGGCTGCCCTGCCTTCCCAAGGAGGCAGCCGGCAGCGCCGAAGAAGCCACCGGAGAAAGGGATTTGGTCCCTCCAGGTCTGCGGGCAGCTCCAGGGCGCTGCCGGACGGGCTGCCATAGCTGCCCTCCCTCGGCGCGGGATGGGGCCGGCTCCTCCGGAGCCCACGCTCCCGGGGGGCCCAGGACTCTCCCCCCAGCGCCCGTCCCTGCCGGAGGGGAGATGGCTGGAAGGAGCCGGGGCCTCGCAGTCTGGCACGAAGACGGCTGCTGATTTAAGAGGCTGGTTTCCAGCCCC